TTATCAGAACATATATAATATTGCATTAAATGGCTAATGTGTCATAAAAGGTGATTCAATATAATACTTCTCAGAACACACAAGAATGATACTTTAACCTTAAGTGTAATTCAATGTGTTCTATTTTATATAATTTAAAAAATTATGTAGTCCTGAAGTCAAATTATATTTATTAATGTGAATTATGTCTAGTATTATAAAATCATATCATGACTTTTATTTTAGACAATTTTTATTAAAATTGGGTTGACAGAAGATATGATTTTTATAAATTAAGTCAATGATTATGTACCTTTAAAGTATACTACTTTTTAATGGTAAGTGTGATATGCAAGATAACGCCATATAATAAATTATAGATTATCAAATAATATGATTTTAGCTCTTTTAAGTGCTAAATTTGATTTTCAAAAAGTTTCAAATGATTATCTTGAACTTTTATTGTAACACCCTAAATTAATTTTTTTTGTAATTTAGGGTTTAATTATAAATGTAAATTCTTAATTTTTTAATTTTTTAATTTTAATTTAGAGTAAAAATAAAGTAAAATTGATAGAAGATTAAATTAAAAATAATTTTGGGAAAAAATGGTGAAAATTTAGATTCTGAAGGTATTCTTGAAAGAAAAATCGAAAAACATGGGTCAAAATTTAATTTTGAGAAGTTTCGTCACGTCAAACGCTCGGTCAGCAGGCCCGACGAATCAAGATGCACCGCGTGACAGCGGACACTGACGCAGTGCCACGCGGAAGGCCATGCAGACGATCCGTGTGCCCGCGATCGAATGATCCAGGTCCGTTCCTGCGCGCACGAATGGCTCAGATGTGTTCCCTCTCCAAGCACGATCAGACGATCCAGAGTGGATCGCGATGGACGACCCAAATTAGATTACGATGAATAGTCCAAATTCACTCCCTATTTAATCGCGATCGGACTGTTCAGATCAAACGTGATAGACGGTCCAGATCAAAGCAAATGGATATAACTAACCTTCATCCACACCAAACCCTAACCTTAACTACCAGACCCTCTCGTCGGAGTTGAAGACCCGGCCGCCAGAAAGACACCGCTGCCACCCGCCGCCGCACCAGAGCTTTTTTCGACTGCCAAAAAAGGTAAAAATTTCTCCTTTTACTCAAAATTTAATTTTAAGCACACCCATAGTCAAATCAAAGCAAAAAGACCGGCCAATTGGCCGAAAAATACTAGCGGCATCGCCGCAGAAAATTTCACAAAACACCTCCGATGAGGTCTTTTCTGATTCCTGTTTTGTGTAATTTTTCTACCGTTGTGATCACTGTGTCATTCTCTACAGGTTGACCGGAGAAAAACACCCAACCGCAATGTGAGCCGGAGGAGCCGCCGCACCAGAGAGCCCTACTGCTAGTGAGTTTTGATTTTTTATTTTTTTTCAGTCAACCGAGACCCTTTAACATGTTTTCTCGCAGGGATCGATGCAGAATCGGCTAAAAACAGCCAACTCGAGGCGGACCGCCATTGTGGAACGGCAGCGCCGTTGCTAGAGCACAGCGGAGCCGCCATGTCGGAATTCTAAAATTGGCCAAGTGTGCCCCAGGACTAATTTTGGGTTTGTTTGGGACATTTGTAGGTACTATTAGCGCATTTTAATTTTTGAAAAAAAATTCAGAAAATTTGGGAATCGCCCGTAGGCGCAGTTGAACAATTTAGCTTTACGGACATCAAATTGAGTAAGGATCCATCACTCTATTCCCTATCATAAAATTGAAGTGTAAATAAATAATAATATGATATTTTGTGTGAATTTAGAAAATGTGTATAATTAATTACGGATTGCTAATGGAGGCAGAATTGAAAATTTTCTACTATTGCTTTGTTGATTGTTTTACACTTTAAATGCATGATAGTACCTTATTAATTGATTTATAGCTTTGAATGCATGTATGGTTCATTCTATGTGTCTACTGCTAAATCAAAAAAAATGAAGGTTAAACGGTAAAAAATTGTGTGATGAAATAAATAGATGAAACGACAGCCTTACTGGATATCCTGAGAGATGGTGGACGGACCGGGTATATAGGGAACCCTACTATAAACGTTGTCTCATATCGGACGGGGTATGGAGACTTGACAATTTGGCGCTCATACCGGATTGGGTATGGGGACGGCCCGCTTCACCCTCATACTAGACGGGGTATTGAAGTTTGATAAATTGGCACTCATACTGGACGGGATATGGAGACGGCCCGTAATTGAGAATGTTAAATGAAAGGGTTCACGTGTGGCGGAGACATCCCTATGAATCCCCATGGATACCAGTAGGCTGGTAAAAAGAGTGACAATTATTGTTTGATTTATTGATGATGGATATAGAATTATAATATGTGTTATGTTACTGATTATATATGAAATCATGATCTGAATAATAATATTGCCTGTATAGGTTGTGTTTATAAATTCCACTACGGTGAGTGGACGATAAATAGTTTTATGATTGATAAATGAATTTGTTAAATTTAGTACTCCATTAGTGTTTTTTTTATTTTCTACCAACCTTTATTTCTGTGTCGGTGATATAGTGTGATATCCTTACTAGGCTAGTCTAGCTCATCCCTTATTTAACCATTTCAGATCAAGAAGACCAGATTCCAAAGTCCAATCCGCAGAAGGATTACGAGTAAACACTAGATTTCTTTATTTTGCCGTTTATTTTCTTATTCTTGTGTTTCTTTCAAATGAGTGAATTCCGTAACACTGTTTAGTATTTTAAATTATTTGTGTAAAAAATGTAAATCCTCAATATTTATTACACTTCCGCACTTTAATTATATTTTATTTTCTTTGGATATTTCCAGGGTCGTTATATTTATAAATTTAAATAATTCATTTCTATAAAATTTACATTGTGAGATAGAAGAGAAAAATTGATTGCAAGACTTAAAAAGAAAAGTTTTATTCCCTTAATCCACCTTGAGTCATAATGTGCTTATTATTTATAAATATACTTTTTAAAAGAGAAAATCTGAAAATGTTTTATCTATATTTTTTTGCTCAAACTTTTGAGAATTGTCATTTTTGAGAGAACACGAGTAAAATGTGATATTAACACTTTGATAAATAAGCAAGTAAGGTTCGAGGGAAATAGAGTGAAATATGAGTTTAACATTATTGTAAGTAGTGTCTGAGGAAATACGAGTCAAATATGAGAGTAATACCTTGATAAACAAGAAGGTAGTATTCAAGGAATACAAGTGAGTGGGTGAGCTGCACACTGTGAGCAACTAAGACATATATAATACTTTGAAGAAAGTAGTGAAATCTTAAGTGGTATACGTAATAAAGAGGATGTAGGCACAAGCAGTGTGGTCGAACCTCTACAAAAAGAATCTACACTCTTTTCCCTTTCCTCTTTACTTTGTGTTGTTACTCGTCATCACTTGATATTGCATATTCACTCATTTCTATATTATATTGTGATTCATTTACAACATATTGTATAAACCAATTGACAAAGATTCTCATATAAGAAAATACTTTCATCTTAAGTGAAATAGCTATGAAAAATATTTTAAAAAAAATACTTCTAGAGGTCTTAAAATTTTATAGACCCAATTTATCACTCTTTTACATTGTCCTAGACCTTGGTCTAACAATCAGTATAGGAGCTAACCTACTAGTAACTTAATTATTTAGAGCAAAAGTCACTTATGGCAACCTAATTAAATGAAGGCCAATCTTTCAACAAACCATCATTGTTCAATGGTAGTCATTATAAAAATATTTGTATAAGCTTCCAATTACAATCTTTAAAAAATCATAGTAGATGGACATGTTCCTACTAGAAGCCTAGGAGATCAAATTGTAGAGAAATGAGAAGATGAGTGGGATAAAAATGATAAGATACTAGTATAATTAAATGTTAAGATAATAAACCTTTTATATTATGCCCTTGATGTGAATGAGTATAGTAGAATATCAACATGTGAGTCACCTAAAAGAGATTTCGGACAAATTAGAAGTGACACATGAAGAAACAAACTAAGTTACAAAATCTAATATATATATATATATATATTAATGTATAACTACGAGCTGTTCAAAATGCTTGACATTAACTCTATCAAGAACATATTTGCTAGATTCATTGATATCATTAATGATTTGAAATTTTTTAGAAAAACATCTGCTAATGATGAATTAGTGAGAAAGATTATTATGTGTTCACTAAGATCATGAGATGCCAAAGTGATTGTCATTGCAAAAAAAAGGAACCTTAACAAGTTGAGCTTTAATGAACAATGACTAAAATAGTTTTAGTTTGGTTCAATTAACAACAAACTAAAATAATGTTAATTTATTTAAATTTTTTCAATTCTATTTTTAAACTGAAAGCAGAAGTAATTTATCTACTAGCTTAATCCAATAATATTTTATATTTTGTAGTATTTACATATTTTTTATTAAAATCTTGGTTTAATGTGTCTAAATTATACATTAATCTACATACTTTATAATATTTATACATTTTTTACATATTTTATATATCTTATGAAACTTATCCCTTATTCCACAAAATTTAAAAATACCAAAAGAGTTAGGATTTTAATTTAACCAAATTTTTTTGATGAAAATAAAAAAATCGAACCTTTGTAATTTATAAAACTGAAACTCAACCTAAAACTGAAATCTAACTGAATTAACCAAACTAAAATATTTCGATTAAAAAAATATGCTGAGCTGGCAGGCATACGTGGATACGGGGGTAAAACCGTAAAAAAGTGAAAACCACGAGGAGCCTACGCTCGTGATTTTATATCGTTTTGCCTCATTATGAAATTTTTTAAAAGAGATCGCAAAGCCTGTTGAGAGTTTAATCAAAGAATCGGAGCGAGGAATTCCATCTTCACCTTTCAGGTTCTGCAACCCTAAAATCAACCTCTCAAATCTTACTTGTTCGTGTTGATTTTCCATTCTATTTTTCTGTTATTTTCAATTTTGATAATTTCGTTGAAGCATATATTTTAATCCTTGTTCTGTTTCTGGTTTGTACGTCTTCTTGAATTTTGGCCTCTGCTCTTGTTTTCTTCAATTGAACAGGATTTTTTTTCTTTTGGATTTAAATGCAATAAAATGCTAGGATTTCGCTGCGAACCGTCTACTTGGATAGTCAACTTTCAGTGTATTGGTATTGTTCATCGGTCTTAGGTTTTGATGGCATTTTTTCCCCAAGAAAATGAACTTATGATTCTTGTCCATTTAAATTTCTAAGTGCCATTTTATAAAGAGGAGTCTTCCGCGAAAGCTCACCAGTCTTGAGCTTTAATTTTGCATTTTGGCAACATCAGCCTACTTCATGGACTCTTTTGGAACCCAGATCCTTGATACTTGTCTAAGGAAGGTCTAATTCGCGTTCTAATTTCAGAAGATATCCAAGAATCGAGCAAAAATTGGTGTTTTCATTGAGAGAAAATGCAGAATCGAGAAGTGCCTGTAGCTGATGATGAAGTTGAGTCTGCTGCATCCGTTTTAGCATCTGAATTCGGCTGGTCAAGTTTTGTGGATGATGATATAATGCAGCAGCAATCTGCAATCCGGAAAGAGGAGGCTGAGAAAATACCATTTGTTGGTGATAAGGCAAGAGTCTTTTACGACTCTTTGCTGTTTATTATTTGGTTACATTGCAGTTGAACTATGTTAAAGTTGTGAAATTCTTTCTTTCTTTTCTCTTTCTTTATTGCAATCCGGGAAGAACAGTTACAAAAAATTCCATATGTTGGTGGTCTGTGAGGTTCATTTACTCGGCTACATGGTCTTTTTTCTTTCTTTTTGATTTTCCTACATCATTTATAATCTTTGGATCATATCCCTAAGAACTTTAGTCTTCAATAGGTTTAACTCTCAATTGTATGTTTGGGAATCTTTCTCCTTGAATCTTTAATTCATTTGTCCTGATATTCTCCTTAAGTCAAACTTCTCCAATTTCACATTCAGTACATTTATCATTTCCTTGTCTTCTTTGGAGAATAAGTACATTCATCTTTTTAATAATTTCTTCAAGTGTACATATCCTCTATGCATTAATTCCTTTTCAGGTAGTTAGTATGTGGCCTTGTGCTACGTTAACTTTCGTTTTTAATTTCTGAATGTGTATTTACAAGACCAAAAACCTTGTCCTGATGGAACTGCAGGAACCTCTGTCAAGTTTAGCTGCTGAGTATCAATCTGGAAGCCCTATCTTGCTGGAGAAAATAAAGGTTTCCATTTTCTAATGTGAAAAAACATGCTGTTCATTTCTGTCATTCTTTCTCCTGATTGTGGCCTTTGTTTTATTTCTGTCCATTATGTAGGTGCTTTCTGGACAATATTCTGCCATTAGACGGACACGGGGGGATGGGAACTGCTTCTTTCGAAGCTTTATGTTTTCTTACCTTGTATGCCATCTCATACATACATTTCATCAGCTCCTGTATAGTTTATATGTCTGGCTTTGACCTGTCAACTTCTACTTCTGTCAGAGTATGCACACTTTGCTAACTATTGATTGTCCAATAGGAACATATTTTGGAATCGCAAGACCGAGAAGAAGTTGATCGTATCAAAGTCAATATAGAGGAATGCCGAAAAACACTTCAGAGTTTGGGTTATGCAGATTTTACCTTTGAGGACTTTTTTTCGGTAAATAGACTACCTTCACTTATCCTTTTGAATGGTTTTTGTGAGTAATCTGTTTGTAAATAGATAATGGATCGCCTTCATGTATGCTCCCTCAAGAGTGGAGAGTGTCAAGATTGTCCACGCATAGTGCATGTGTTCTATCTTACATGATTGTTTATCCCTTTGTGCATATATGTTGAACATTTTTTTTTTAAATGAAAGTGTAGTATAGTATTGATATTAAACATAGATATCAAAGAGGTACTGCCTGTATTCAAAATAATTTCATGTCAATCAAATGGTCAATAATGTTTCTAAAATCACTTAAACCATTTATGTCATGACCCAAAATCATAGAACCAAAAGTATGAACTCATCTATCTGTAATGCTGACAAAATCTTTCTCAATCCCCTCAAACGTTCTTGCATTTCTTTTCTTCCACACCACTCAGAAAATGAAATAGGAATTAAAAGTAAATGCCTTTTCTTTTACACACCCCTGCTCCAGGCCACAACTCATTCTCACGGTTCGGCATGCCCTATCATCCCAAAGGGC